CAAAACGCGATTAAACTCACCGCCGAGGGTATCCCCTGCGCCGTTACGCAGTGTTGCGTCTTTTAGAATTGTCAGGTAATCAGAAACAATAAGAAACAGGTCCGCAAGTAACATATCTCCTGTCGAGAACATCTGGTAAAGTGCAGCAGGAGAAGATAAAGGCCTGGGAGTCATGACCCAGGTGGGCCCACCCTCTGAAGTTGTCTAGGAGGTAACGGGCCGAAACAATTGTTGACGAGGGATCTTCTACTCATGATTGGTAAACTCTTGCTTTACATGCTCCCCTGTTATGTTATCACAATCGACCTCTCTGCACATTGGGCAGTCCCACGCAAGCTCAATCCTCTGATGCAGCAGCCACTCCAAAGTACTTCTACTAATTGTTTCCATGAGAAACTGGTTATATTGTCTCCTATCTCGGCCTCGAAGACGGCATAGACGTGCTTCACCATGCTTTATTTATTTAACGCAATCATGTTTGTGTCAGGGATTCCTCATTATCCACTAGTCCAGTCCGTATAGCGTTGACAATATCTGCTCTGTCCATGCTTCTTCCCACATGCCCTAGTGCAATGCTTACCAGTTGGTGCGCTCGTTCATTTCCCTTTACGCCCCCATGACTAGTGTGTAGACCCTGGTGAGGGAAGTTAAGTGCGATATTCGAATGCTCCCCTGTAGTACTTATTATTAAAGCAAATTTTGTTTTTTTCTCCAACCTGACCTTGGCTCCCAGGTCAGACCAGCCCAGGTAATTTTACTAGAAGTAATGATGGCCGGCACCACTATGACTTCTCTACTATATGACAATGAAGCAAAGTTAAAAAGTTAAGGACCTTGTTTCATGCTCTTGGTGAATCTGGTTCAAAGCATATAATTAGCATGTTTACAGTGAAGTGAAGCTAGCAAAACATCAAACCACATGTGTTTTGTAGGTATTCAGAGGAAGAAAATGAGATGCACTTATTTTGAATAGCGGTAGGAAGGTAGGTAGGTAGTTGTACCCCATCAGGACATCAAACCCAGTGGCACAAAGTGCCACCATGTGAATGAGGATCACCCGTGGAGAGGTCCTAGAAAGCCTTTTCAGCCGAAACTTCAGAAATCTGCAATACTGGTGTTTACTTTTTCTCTTTCTTTCGTGCACACATGTGTGTGTCATTTGCCTACTAGAACCTGGTTAAGGCTCAACAGGATTGACTTGACCCAAATATCTGTTTAAAGAACTTTACTTCTGCCTTCTCCTCAGGATGTTTTGGAAATGCAACATTGTCTGGACAATGCTGTTACACCTTGTTTGGGCTTTGTTGTGGTGATTTTTTGTGTGTGTGTAAAGTCACTGACATCTACCGTGGCTTTGTTTTGAGAGAGGTAATCAACGGTAGCACACAGTGTTGTGACTAATTTTGACTCATACAAGTTCTAGAATATGGGTGGTATTTGGTCATTGTGACTAATTTTGACTAATACAAGTTGTAGAATGTGGGTGGCATTTAGTCATTGTGACTAATTTGGACTCATACAAGTTCTAGAATGTGGGTGGTATTTGGTATTCCATACAAAAGTCATATACCAGAGCACCAGTGTATTTGTTAATGTTTGAGGGCACGACTTTTAGAATGGACTGTAGGCAGTCTTAGTCAAGTCTATTGTATCTGTTTATACAATTGTTTGGTTTGTTTGATCTTAGGTATTTTAATACAATGATGCTTTTGAGGATATAAATGGCTAAAGAGAAAATAAAATGAAACACACAGCTGAACAAACATGGAAAACAATTAAAATAGACTGTTCATCATAGATTTAATTCAGCATTTTAATTATAATTACATTGTAAACATTAAAATAATAAATAAACAGTTCATTCCAAATTACAAAAAAATAGAGTTTTACTCATATCATGGTGTGTTCTTCTTCTTCTTCGCGTTCACCAGCTGTACACTCTGGCGGAAAGTTCTGGTTGATCGTCCACTACTGAACTGCAGTCCCGCTCCAGAACCTGAGTGTTGCGTGTGCATCAGTTTTACAGATCTCATTCTCTTGAATACAGACTGTTGGTTCCTTGCCTCTCCGGCAGATGCACTCCGACTTCAAAGGAAGCTCCCCAATTAGTCGACTCTTACGACATGCTTTTGGGGAGGCAGTGGGTCTATTCTTGTTTTCCCCACAATGGGGCCCTGGAACCCACACAGGGGTCATGGTGTGTTAAAAATCAGACCCTTCTCACACAAATATAGTAAAATCCTGTTAACATAAATTCGCTTAAGAACACCCAGTTAACAAAAACATTTTGGCCCTAGCAGGAATGTATTAATGTTATTAGTCCCCAGTTAGCAAGCCATTTTTAACATAAACTCCACTTTCAATTCTTTGGAGTTCGTGTTCACAAGGTTTTGCTTTAATATTCTTTACCTGTTGACCAGACACATTAAAACTATAATTACATTTAAAAAAAAATAAGATCCAATAAAGCCATTAAGAAAGTAAAACACTGCACATATAAAATAATCCTTTTCTATGCCTGCTGGAGCACCTATGGCTTAGGGGTCACAGTTTCACTTTGCTTTGCAATGGTTTCAAAAATGGTATGAAATCAGCTATTCATGAAGAAGTGGCAAACAACTGATGCAAAACTAAATAAGTAAAACCACCAACAGCCACCAAGTCCTAGGGTTGTTTTTTCAGACACTAGAGGATATACAACTAACTTTTGGGTGTGTCCAGGGTGAGTGCAAAATTCACATTTTTGTCATTCAACAATCATGCAAATGCACTCAGGACATTCCCATTCACCAGCCATTTTCCCCAAAAGATGGAAAGTATAACAAAAAAAATACAAAAAATAAAGATCTCTTTTCACGCCTTTTAGGCATCAGGCATATGGAAAGAGCACCCATATTTTTAAAGACCATTTGGCACTAGGTGGGTAATGTGGTCAGCATTACACCTGCCATCTTTACTTCCCCAGGACATACATACTGGTACCCATTTTAGGCTGGGTCGACCTGCGACGCCAAATGCCATGATAAAAATCCACACAGCCAGCAGTGGGTTTCGATCGCATTGCGTTAGAATTACGAGTCTGACTCACAATGCCTAAGCCACAGATGCTGCATAATGGAAAGTATCCGCACTCTTAAATCCAATGGTAAGTTAATTACATAAGCCTTTCTCCTGCTGACATCAAACTGAATTCCTGATTCCATTAGTCAAAGCTGTATTTATTAAAGTAAAGTTTCCTTCCTGCTGATATCAAACTGAATTCTTGATTCCATCAGTCAAAGCTGTATTTAGTAAAGTCAAAAAACCCTTTTCATGACAATGCTAATTGTACAAATGATGCTAGGCTCATATTTTTATAGCCCAATTAGCACTTGAGGGGCTATGTGGTTAGCACCATGCTGGCTGCCTTTACATCCCAAGAGATTTCCTAGTAGCCATTTTAAGCTGGGTTGACCTCAGAGCTGAAGTGAATTTTAAACAAAATCCACACAGTAAGGATTCAAACCCATTGTGTAGCAGGTGATTATTTAGACCAGTGTTTCCCAAACTTTTCCTAGTCGTGGCCCCTTTTTTAATTAAAATTTTTCCACGCTGCCTTATCTTAAGTAAAAGTATGACTATTCGTATGTAAGAGATAAACAAAAACTTGTGTATCTTAGAATATTTCGCGGCTCCCCTGTGAAGAGGTCGCGGCTCCCCGGGGTGCACAGTTTGGGAATCACTGATTTAGACACTATCATGTCTTCCTTGCTCAACTTCAGTGTTCTCCCTGGAGGCCAGGCATTTCTCCTTTTTATTTCCATATATAGCAGCATGGCCATAGAACCTTTCAGCTTTAATGTATGTGTCAACTACTCATGCTAGTAATCGTAGTGAAGGACAATCTGTATCGTTTTTGTTGACACAGGAACACAGCAACTATGCGGTGACCTTTTGCTAAAAAGACTGAACTGTGATCACCTGATTACACCCTACCTAGGAGTATCCAACCTGAGGTTTCCAGAGCATTGAGGGGGGAAAGAGCAAACAAAAATAATTATTAGGCTTAGGAAAGGACACCGCAATCTTACAGTAGGACTCTGTCTGCATCCGGCAGAGGCTGGGAATCTGGCCCAAAGTAGCGACACTGCATGACTAGCTGTGCGGGTCTAATGATAAACCGTGGGGGATTGGGAAAAATCTAGGATGCAGGATCCCTGTTGTGACCTAGACAGGGTTCAATGTTAAAAATGTTAAACACAGAAGAGAAAGAAGAAACGTTTGAGAGTTATGACAGCTAAACAAAATTATATATTTATTAGAAGCTGGTCTGAGCATTAGTCAGTGTGCTACTGAGGTCACAAAGAAATTCAGACAGAAGGCATGAATCTTCAGGTATGTTAAGACTAAAAACTTACTGTTAAAAGCTGAAAAGATTCATAGAAACAAAGAAAACTAAAATTCACTGTTAAAAGCTGAAAACATTCACTGTTAAAAGCTGAAAACATTCACTGTTATAAGCTGAAAACATTCACTGTTATAAGCTGAAAAACATTCACTGTTAAAAGCTGAAAACATTCACTGTTAAAAGCTGAAAACATTCACTGTTAAAAGCTGAAAACATTCACTGTTAAAAGCTGAAAAACATTCACTGTTAAAAGCTGAAAAGATTCACGGAAACAGAGAAAGGCAGAGGGAGACATACTGAGCAGCCTTGCAGTGTGACATGTCATGATGCCAGTTTATGTGGTGTTTAACTGGATCTCCTTCTTATGCATTCACCCTCAAAAGAGCAGTTAGCATGCTGTGTTGTGGTTTACAGCTAAGCTGCAGTATCTGCGTATATTGACCCAACACATCTGATTTCAGGAAACCCCTCATTAGTCATCTTCTACTGTGTCTACTGTTGTTAAGGGCGGTGGGTATATCTCTTTTTCTTTTCCAAAATGGGGCCCTGGATCCCAAATATGGAACTTTCTGAACAGAAAGTGGAAACGTAAAGTACAGGGACACACAGAATTCTACCTTTCCCCCCTTTTTGGCTTTCTTTTCTTTTTCTTTTTATCAGAGTAAATAAAAGACAGTGATTTATTACGCACTTCTTTATCAGGACTTAACAGATTACTGTTCATGGATATTGGCGAACTGCTAGAATCAAACAAGAAACTGTTTTCTATACAATCCACAGAGTGATCTGCAGAACAAGGCATAGTAGAAACATTCGGAGCGACTGATACTGAATGTAATGAAATGCTGTTATCTTGAGTTTCATGAAGTTTATTACAGCTGGCACCTGTTTCATGTTGGTGAAGATTTTGTACATCACCCATCTCTTTATCTACACAAAAAGTATTGGTTGCTTTATTGCTCCAATGTTCATCAACTTTCTCACAACTTGAGGTATTTCTATGACTGCTTAGCCTATTGTCACTGTCAGAAGCAATATCTGGGACAGAGTTATCATAATTATCTTTTTCTACTAAACTCACGCTGTGATCACTATACGACCTGGGTGCTTCAGAATTTTTATCAGTATCTGTATTATCTGATTTCCCAGAGGTAACACATGATGAGCTCTGACTTTTGCAACAGTTGTCAGTCCCACTGCCATGTAAGCTATATCCAGTGCTTCTAACTATATCGGTATCCATTAAACCTAACTTTATCATTCTGTCATGTTTCTCCAATGTCCCTTCTGCAGTTATGCTAGAGATAACACAACTTCCTTGAACAACTGCAGTAAATCCTGGTGTCTGATCCTCTTCTTCATCACTGTCAAAGATGGGATCAACATAACTGGAAAATTTCCCATCCATTTCTAGATCATCAAATCCACTGCTATTATCATTTGTATTTATTTTATGTGCCGAAGAAAATCCAACAGAGTCCCTCTCCTGCTGATGCATATCTTGAAGGTGAACAATCTGCTCCTTAACAGGAAAGCCGTTTAACAAGAGAATACCTCTCTCACCAGTTTCTGCCAGTTCTTGGACAAAGCCAAACCAGTAGATCACAGCCCCAGGGCCAAACCTGCAAGGAGACAGCAAAGTTCAAACTACATACATGTGGAACTAAAAAGTTAAGGAAAGAATGTTTCCACACCTTAAGGTGCATTGGGCATAAGACATTCATATTTTCATAGACCACCTGGCACTTGTGTGATCTGAATATTATGCAGGCCACCACCATTTCCCAAAACAATTCCTGGCACCCAGTTTTAGGATAGGTCTATTTTGGAATCCTGGTCAACCTAGAAAATCTGCCTCAAAGGAAATTCAAACTTACGACTACCTGACCAACAAGAAAGCATGCTAACCAGAGCACTACCGGTTCTTTATTGATATCCTACCCCTAGATGACGTCACAGGACAGTCCAACATTTTAGAGGGTGGTGAGACTGGATTTCCCGGATTTCTGATGCTTTTAAGAACCCCCAAAACATCTAAAACTGGTTCTAACTCCAACCCACTTACCTCCCACGAGAGAGTACAGCCTAGGTCCCATGAATGAATACAGCCTACGTCCTAGGACTGCATGCAGCCTATCTACCACCCCCTGAAATATTAGACTGTCCCGTGACCTGTGGATTTCCCCTGTTTTGGGGTAGGATATTAATAAAGCACCACACTACAATATTAAAAAAACTCATAATATAATGGCATTATAGAGGTTCTGGATTTAATATCTATACAGGGCATTTTACCCAATTAGGCAGTCAAAGAAACAAATGCAAGAAGAGGTCTGTGATGTCATTTACAAAAACCTCAACATTATAGTACAATAAATTTTTGCGATCAAATATTTATAAATTACAATAAGTTCTTCTGTATGACTGTTGAATTAGGAATCACCATCACAGCACTCGGGACACCCCCATAAGCGCTCCGTCCCCATCTTCAGCAGCAAGCAAAGAGTTGAAATGATGGTACCAGTAACTCGTCATCATCATGTAGCAGGTCCTTTGCAGAACGTCGCTCTCATCACAGTCTGCCTGTAAGAAACTCGGTCTCTTGCCAGTTCTCCCGCCTCATGAACTTTCACACTCAAGGAGTCACTTATATCCTGTGCCCATCTTCGTGTTGGTCAGCCTCTGCCCCTCCTTCCTGGTACCATGCCTTCTGCTATAATTTTTTCCAGTAACTACCTGATTGTATATTCCGCTCGCCTTTCACTCCAAGTGTCGAGCGTTGGTCAGATCCCCTTATAACTCCTTGCAGTGCCTTTTGAAGTGACACTTGCCACTCTGCATGGAGCATGCCTGTCTCCATCTTTCTCAACATGCTCTGTGAGTCAGTAACAATGACAGCATGTGTGTACAGCTGATTCTCAAGCAAGCGAAAGGCAGCAGTGACTGCCTCCACCACCATTCCCAAACTAGACATTGTGATATGGTAGCTTTGTTGAAGCACCAAGTGACGTCCAAGTGCCTTCGCTATGAACCCCCATATACTTTTTCTGCCCCTAAACACAGAGACATCTGTATATACAATCACATCACCTGGGCAAGAATTTTAATGAATCATTTGTTGAACTTGAGTTAGAAGAAAGAACGGAACACGTATGGTTACTACCCGTATGCCATGATATTGATCCATTGTTGAAACCTCAGACCTTCTTAACTACTTTCAACTCTTCTTCTTCTTCTGCCTGTCTAAGCCCAAATGAAGCACAGGCCCTCAAACAACTCACACCAAGTCATTCTATCCTTCGCATACAGCTCTCCCCATGTCCTTTCAGCTTTCTCCACACTGCGTCACACTACTTCAACTAGAACAGACTCTCCTCATCTTAGCTGGCTCATCTTGTATCTCTTTTTCATGGTTGGCTGGTTTTTGTGGCTACTATGCTTTACAGGATGAGGTAGCTAACCTCGAGCTCAACCTTACCCTTAGTCACCTCTTACAACAAGCCCGGTAGGGTGCAGTGCTTCTATTCTTTGCTGTCCATGAGGGCCCTATTTTCAAGTATTATATATTATAAATTATTGTAAATAAAGACCACAGCAAAATACCTATTTTTATATGGCAGATACTGATCAATCATGTACTGCTGGTGGTTGATAGGGTCCCCAAAGGACGCTTTACTCTCAATCCAGTTGACAACTCTCTTGTTAATCACTGGAAATACAATTTAATTAATCAATATTCATTGTTACTATTCAGAAAATTTAAAGCTTTGTTAGTATATGTGCAGAAAGAATTCTGTAAACAGAAAACAGTTCGGAGGAGCAGATGGATCACCAGTCTGGTGAGATTGATGCAGCGGGGAGAGATGAGGAAAGACAAGACGGACGTTTAATCAGAATGCTACTGGCACCATTAGTATCAGAACTCTGCACTGGCTGCTGAAGATGGGGATGGAGTGCTTATGGGAATGTCCCGAGTGCTGTGATGTCGGTCCTTGAATCAACCCATCATCAACAGAAAGAATTAAAAGGTTCGTGAGTTCACTGCTGCTACACAGATCACTGTCTCCATTTATTTATGTAATAGGCCTTCTCTTTCCAGTTGATGATTATGTCTGTAAGTCTGCCTGCAATCACAACCTTCTTGGTCTGCCTCATGGTCTACTTCCATCCAAAATTGATCTATGCCCTGCATCAGGGCTATTCAACTGGCGGCCCGCGGAGGCCTAGCTATTGGCCCACAGATCATTGACAATAGTATTATATTAATGATCATTCTACGCTGGGACTTTAACTTTTGGCCTGTGACAATCCCCATTTTCCAATATTTTGGCCGCTGAGTAAACATAGTTGAATAGCTCTGCCCTACATCATCTAGGGGGGCATATAGAGAAAACTGCAGAGAGTAGTATTACCACAAAATCTATCATTGTCATAATCAAATGTCTTGCTGACTCTTGCAATCATGCTTCCTCACATGTGATCTCCAACAGTTTGTCAATCCATCTGCTGATGTTTTTCAAGTATATGACAAAAAGCTGTCATGCAAACTTCTCATGTAAACTTTCTCTGCCTCTCTGTTCTGAACTAATTGTTTACTATTTCTCCATTTCTTTCTTTCTGTATGATTACTCCCCGTCATACATTTGTTAAACATTTATATAACAAATGTAATAAATAAATGTAAAAAATAATGATTAATGATCTAGGGAAAATTTATTTTTTATTAAACTTGTTGAAAAATTCTGGGGTTCTGTGCCGCCACCCCCACTCCCCACTTGAGAAACAAAACAGCATGATCATCAAATTCTTTGCTAACTGATAGCATAATATTATCTGTTATATATACAGATACAATCATAAGACAATATTTCAAATGAGCATAACATTTTAAATAATGCCTGGTGATCCTCCATGCCATGATTTCAAACTGCTCAGCATCTTCTCTTTTGGTCTCCAGTTGACTCTCTTTCCCTTTAAACTTTCCTGCTGTCATGGTGTACTCTGTTTTTTACATTCTCTCACTGATCAAAGAGATCCAGCTGTGACTGCGCTGCAGCCCACGGTCGGTGTTTGAAACCGGGCGGCTCCCGGGGTTCACCCAGCCTCTAGGAAATGGGTACCAGAGTGATACTCTAGGGTAAATGGAGGAATGTCGCTGTAGCTACAGAGTTAGGTGCGAACGGCGACACAGGCGGACAATTCTTATCAGCTGTCCGTACTGGTGGCAGAGCACTTATGGTTTATAACCATGTGCAATGACGCTGGTTCACATCTCCTGACTTTACCTTTACCTTTTTTACTGATCAAAGAAAATAGGATGGTCTTCTTCTGATGTGGGTAATTAGTTCTCTTTGTGAGTTAATTTCTTTCATTAGTCCGTCAACTTTTCTAAGACATCTCATCTCTGTTGTTATGATTCTGATCTCAGTAGCTGTAGTCAGGATCACACAGAAAAATTATTCCTATGTTTATTTTTTTCTAATAAGAACTATTAATTTGGCCAACTTAATGCTACCAGTGTCAAACATGGGCCCTTACTACAACTAATGGCCTCAAATTCACAACAGCAGAGATGCTTTTTTAGAAATTGTCTAAAATTTACAATCACCAGCTGGGTTCTACATAACAAACAAGTTCTTTTCTAACTTCCAATGACAAAAAACATTTTGCGTAGTATGTTTAAGAAAAGCACATGGCAGTTACTGCCACTGGAAGACCATGAGATAAACGTACGTGACCGTGTCTGCTTCACATCACTTCTTTCCAACAAAGTAAGTTGCATATCCTTACGAGATGTTCCAGAAACAACCCCAGCATTTTTTGTGTGTGTGTGGATTTTACTAGGCAATTTTATGTTCAGTAGTTTGCCCTTGCACTCTGAACAGCCGGTACTTCAAAACACTGTCAACATCAATGCTGCCAGACTGCCTGCAGCTGAAATTGAACATGGTATCTCAGAATTACGAAGTATCTAAGCCAAACAATCAACTTAACTCACAATTTGGAAAGTTGTTTGGTTTTAGTTTTTTCCCAGTTGGGTCACATTCAGAGCTGCACTGATTTAAAAATATTCCGTAAAATAATAATGTATATGATCTGTAGTGAACATATGTTTGATGACAAATTGTGGCATGTTCATACTTACTAATTGGAACCTTAAGTCTTATGTCTGGGGTTTTGTCATAACCTTCTTCTCTCATCTGGCTTTCATCTAAAAAATTAAAAAAAAATTAATGGTTTTACTGTAATTTAATGTCTTTTTCTTCTTCTCAAGATGGCGGTGGCACCTTGTGCTGTGGTTTAAAGCAATGCTACGATACCTGGGCCCGAAACAACATATTTCAGCTGTGGTTTAAAGCAACACTACGATACCTGGGCCATCACAACATATTTCAGCTGTGGTTTAAAGCAATGCTACTATACCTGGGCAAGACACAACATATTTCAGCTGTGGTTTAAAGCAATGCTACTATACCTGGGCAAGACACAACATATTTCAGCTGTGGTTTAAAGCAATGCTACTATACCTGGGCCATCACAACATATTTCAGCTGTGGTTTAAAGCAATGCTACTATACCTGGGCCCGACACAACATATTTCAGCTGTTTTTTAAAGCAATGCTACTATACCTGGGCCATCACAACATATTTTAGCTGTGGTTTAAAGCAATGCTACTATACCTGGGCAAGACACAACATATTTCAGCTGTGGTTTAAAGCAATGCTACTATACCTGGGCAAGACACAACATATTTCAGCTGTGGTTTAAAGCAATGCTACTATACCTGGGCCCGACACAACATATTTCAGCTGTGGTTTAAAGCAATGCTACTATACCTGAGCCCGACACAACATATTTCAGCTGTGGTTTAAAGCAACACTACGATACCTGGGCCATCACAAGATATTTCAGCTGTGGTTTAAAGCAATGCTACGATACCTGGGCCTGACACAACATATTTCAGCTGCAGTTAAAAGCAATGCTACTATACCTGGGCCATCAAAACATATTTCAGCTGTGGTTTAAAGCAATGCTACTATACCTGGGCCATCAAAACATATTTCAGCTGTGGTTTAAAGCAATGCTACTATACCTGGGCCCAACACAACATATTTCAGCTGTGGTTTAAAGCAATGCTACTATACCTGGGCAAGACACAACATATTTCAGCAGTGGTTTAAAGCAATGCTACTATACCTTGGCCCGACACAACATATTTCAGCAGTGGTTTAAAGCAATGCTACTATACTTGGGCCCAACACAACATATTTCAGCAGTGGTTTAAAGCAATGCTACTATACCTGAGCCCGACACAACATATTTCAGCTGTTTTTTAAAGCAATGCTACTATACCTGGGCCATCACAACATATTTTAGCTGTGGTTTAAAGCAATGCTACTATACTTGGGCCCAACACAACATATTTCAGCTGTGGTTTAAAGCAATGCTACTATACCTGGGCCCAACACAACATATTTCAGCTGTGGTTTAAAGCAATGCTACTATACCTGGGCCATCACAACATATTTTAGCTGTGGTTTAAAGCAATGCTACTATACCTGGGCCATCACAACATATTTCAGCAGTGGTTTAAAGCAATGCTACTATACTTGGGCCCAACACAACATATTTCAGCAGTGGTTTAAAGCAATGCTACTATACCTTGGCCCGACACAACATATTTCAGCTGATGTTTAAAGCAATAATACTATACCTGGGCATCACAACATATTTCAGCTGTGGTTTAAAGTAACACTACGATACCTGGGCCTGACACAACATATTTCAGTTGTGGTTTAAAGCAATGCTACTATACCTGGGCCTGACACAACATATTTTAGCTGTGGTCTGAAGCAATGCTACTATACCTGGGCCTGACATAACATATTTCAACTGTGGTTTAAAGCAATGCTACTATACCTGGGCCCGACACAACATATTTCAACAAACCCATATTTAGTTGCCTTTTATAATTTGCTTAATAAGGGAACGTGGGTCTACTCTTCCCCCCCTCCCCCCCATCCCTAAAATGAGAAACCCACACAGAGGATTCTTAGTCAACCAATTAATCAGCCTGCCAACCAACTATCCAATGATTATGTGAAAATTCGTAAACTCCAAATTTTTTACATGAAGGAGGGATAATTTTCCCTCTTATACCCAGCTGACTAAGCTATGCTGTAGATCTAGTTATCCATTTTCCTCTGAAGACTTTTTCCAGTCCTACAGAGTTCATGCATTTGTGGGAAACCATCCTCGAGTATCGTAGAGCAGTTGGTTATACTGTAACTAAGTTTTTTTTTTTAAACCAGCTGGGGAAAAAAATCAGTTCAACAGGAAAGGAACACACTGATAAGCTGGTGTATAGGGTTTCTGTGGAAAAAGTAGTGGACCAGTGAGGTATACTGAAAATACTAGAAGTAAGATGATTCCACAAATCAAGTCTTTTTTTCTTTTTCTCCTAACCTTTTGTCAGAAAACATATATCAGGAGGCCGGTAGCTTTCATGAAAGCTATTGTGCAGTCCAAATCTTTCTGTGTACCACAGAGACAAATCATGTAATGACTGTGAATCTGCAATTGTGACTAGACTGCAAGAACAGCAAGTCCAAATGGGTGAGGCTAGACAAGGGTCCTGTTAGTGAAATAAAGAACCCTTTTCCACACATAGGGTATACAGGGCTAGACCTATATTTTATAGACCAATCGGCACAAGATGGGTGATGTGGTCAGCATCATGAAAGCCACCTTTACTTCCTGGGACTGCACCTGGTACCCACTCAAGGCTAGGTCGAGCTCGGAGCCAAGGTAATTTCTTTAAAAAGTCCAGCTCAGTCAGGGAGCGAACCCACAATGTCTAGCCATTCTGCCACGGCGACTCCCCAAGAGCCCTATGTACTGATCCAAAAAAGAGAGTAGTAAACTAGCACAGAACTGGTGCCATCAACCTTACATGCTTCTGGACTGAATGGTTTGATGAGTAGCAAGAATGATCTGTTGACTAAAAAAGTTTAAAATATGCAAAGTATATGGCAATGACAAGTTTACATCAGCAAACAACGAAAAGACACAAAACACAACGCAAAACAGGAAATGAGGCTGACAATGCAGTATAAAACATCCTTTGTTTGTCAGTTGTAATGTGCTGTTAAAATCTGACATAAACTTTATGTTTTTCCAGTATTTCTCATTTTCATAGCTTTACTGCAGTCAACTCATTCTAACATACAGCTGACAATTAAAAAAATGCTGTAAGCAAATACAGAATCTAAACTTACCTATAAAAGACAATCCAGCCTCTTGACATCTGGCTTTGAGAATGACCTCATATTCAACACCACAGCTTCTGTGAAAACAATTATAAAATAGATAAGTAGGATTAAAACTTTCCAGTCTCAGATAATATTCACAAAGGGGTCTTACCCTCTTTCAGCTGACAACAATGTTTAGGACTGTAAATGCAGAATAATATTCTTCAGTATTAGAATCAGCATGTATATATGCACACACACACACACACACACACATATATATATATATATATATATATATATATATATATATATATATATATGTATATATATATATACACACACACAAATTCAGCGGCACCACAGGATAATAACTCCAGGAGTCATTGGGCAAGTCCACTCCCCCCCCCCCCCCTCTTCTGGGCAACAAAGAGGCAATGGGTCAAAACATTTGAAGTAGAAGGGGGGGGGGGGGGGGGGGGGATTTGTGAAAATGTGAAGTCTCCGGTTCTGTTTGTTTCCCTCAAAAAATCTTAATAGATGTGAAGAGATAGATGCAGGTACACATGCAAGAAAAAACAAGTAAGTAAATGGCATGTTTCAAGCTCAAGACTCTGAGGTCCCTGTTATGGGCCCCTGACCCCAATTTTGGGGGGGGGGGGGGTAGAAAGAGACCAACTGCCCCCTAACAAATCTATATTAATAAAAATGTTAATTTTCCGATGTTGTTAGCTAAAAACTCAGAAACTACTGAACCGATTGCTTTCAAATTTGCACACAACGTTGCATTTGACTTCAAGCGTGATTTTTTGTCAGAAAATCGCACAAACCACGAACGACGTAGCCCCAGAAACGGTCAAATCATTATTTGTTTCATTGCCGGCCCAGATTTGTTTTTAGTTAATTTCCAATATTTGACTGCTGAGCTCTTATTGAACTTTGCGTTATTATATAATTTCGTTTCCACGTTTCGTAGTTGGTTGCTATTCTGCCTATCATGTGACCCGCGTTCGATTCCCAGCTAGGTGATATATTTTTTTTTAGCCCATAACTGGGTGGCTGGCACGTTGTGTTGTTGTTTATGGCTAGGCTACGATATCTATGCATTTTTCGTTTTGTGGTTTACAGCTAGCCTGCGACAGCGGCAACGTGAGGCTCAATCATCATGTCACAGGTAATCTTTGTTCGCCCTCTAGAGGGCCGTTGGCAGGTTGTGTTGTGGTTTACAGCTAGGCTGCGATATCTGACCTAAACTCTTCAGTCGTCGGTAGTATAGTTGTAAGTATGTCATCCTTCACATGGGTGACCGGTGTTCGATTCCCTGCTGGGTGATAATTGTTCTTTTTCCCTTAAAAGGGTGGTTGCCACGTTGTGCTGTGGTTTACATCTAGGCTGCGATATCTTTGCCTTTCGCTCAAAGACATCCGATTTCAGTAAAGTCCCATTTATCCTTCCCGCGACGCTTCGATCATAAACTATTCAGCGATGACAGAAACTGTTAACTAAGAAGGCTTACAGTCCAGTTTAGTTTGGGTGGACACGGATGCCAAGGTCAGTTAAAAATCGTTCCCTCGGTGAGGGAGAGATGGCGGGTGCGGGGTATTTTTCTCCGCTTTTTATTGTTTCACTGTGGGTTCCATTACTGGTTACGTGATGAAGTTGTTTTTTTCCTATGTCGGGGGCAAAATTAAACTAAATAGTCTGTGGCGACAGCATGCAGCGCTAACTCCTCTTTTCTACACCGACCTACACAGACTGTAGTGACAGTTTTTGTTGCTGTTGTTGTTGTTGTTGTGAAGGTGGTGGTGGTAGTGGCTGCAGAAGTACTGGTACTGGATTGGTGATGTGGTAGCTGTTACACTGGCTACATTTACTTCTCATTACACATTAATGCTATCCATCTGTCTCTGGGTGGACACGGATGCCAAGCTCAATTTAGTTACATAATTTTGTTACACGGTGACTGTCCCATCCTTCGGAGAGGATGATATGATTGGGAGAGGGGGAGGGGTTATGCCAGACACAGTTAGCTGAGAGAGCTTAAAATGTTACTTTAAAGTTCTCATTTCTAAACTATTTCTATTCTAATTATTTCGCCAGGTGATGATTTTTCAATTCTTCGGAGATATGATTGATGGAAGAGGGGGGTGGGGGTTATGCCAGACACAGTTAGCTGATGATTTTTCAATCGTTCAGAGAGGGAAATATGACTTCGCCAGGTTATGATTTTTCAATCCTTCGGAGAGGGAGATATGATTGGGGGAGTTATGCCAGACACAGTTAGCTGAGAGAGCTTAAAATATTATTTTAAAATTCTCATTTATTAACTATTTCTATTTCAATAATTTTGCTAGGGTTAAAAGTGGGATACATAGTGTTAACTGAGTTCTCAAAGTAAATCTGTTATATTTAATTTAAATTGTTTTTTTAACCAAAATGTAATTTGCACTGTTTCACATTTTGCTTTGATCTGGGTTGTGATTATGATAGAAACTGTACTATGAATAATTATACAATCTTACTAACACTGTGTCATTAGCATGGTGGATATATTGTTTCCTTAGTATGCAATCATTGATTAATCTCCTCAATTTTATCTTTAGGGGAAACTTTTTCAAAGATGCCATGAGCTCTACTAGATATATGCTTCATTAATATAAGTTTCTGTAACCCATGGTGCCATTTCAATACTTTAAAATGAATTCTGCCAGTATTCCATAGTTGTGGATTTCAAGTTGTACGATAGACATGGCAAATAAGACACCTTTTTTGGGGGGGGGGGGGGGGGTGCCTAGTTGACCATGTTCTTAGTGCACTTGTTTCCATAGTGAGGCGCACACACCATTTGGAGGTAACAGGTTCGATTCCTGGCAACTATAGTTTTGGATTTTTATGTTGTCTAGTGTGTTCTTCTATCTTTCTGTGAGTGCCGATCAATACATTTTCTGTTATTTTATTCAGATATCTATTTAATCAATATAATACCGGACCAATCAACATCTACAACTTAAAACATTTGTTGCAGGAGACTTAGCAACTAGGGGTATGTTGTATGATGTTGCCTGATATGTTGTAAAATGAATTCTAAAATCAGTATTTAGTATAAAACATACATTTACAAGAGTGATCTTTTACTTCTACTTGTGTTATACAGTCATTTCATGTGCTACTTTTGTCTCAGGGGCCATCTTCTTCCGCAGACAACTCTAGGACATTAGCTTTTCACACCTCCAGCTATAGGGACAACTGATGCAGACAGCAACAAATTTCAGGTTAGTGCTGCCTTCCATTTGCAAAATTGCAAATATGAATGCCTTTCCAAAACTTTCTGTAACTTGTCTTGTGTGTATAATTTATTGTTTCTGTTTCGATGTGAAAAATGTAATAACAGTTTTTTTTTTTTGAGCTCACCGGTGGTAAACTTTGGAGGAAAGTTTGCTTATTTGACTACTTCTTGACTTAAGTCTTGTTCCAGAAAAGAGTTCTGTGTGCAAATTTGTTTTTCAGAGCTGTTCATATGTATGTGTCGGCTCTGTGGCTAAGTCGATGTGAACGCTTCATAATGCCAGGGTGCTGGGTTCAATCCCAGCTGCGGGCCATGCGCCTTGTTTTGGTTTCAACAGCGGCATCAGTGGGCCGACTGTCCAGAAAGCAATGGCAAACTACTGGACGTAAATTTGCCTAGATAAATCACACAACAGCCAGGGGCTGCTGGGGTTGGTTCTGCAACATCCTGTAAAGAATATGCAGCTAACCTTACAGATGTGTGCAGGCTGTTGGCTCTTCATCTCTCAGGCAAGCAAACTCTGACTTTCAAAGAAACACCCTTAATCAGTTGACTTTTATGACATGCTTGTTAGAGGGACAGCTGGTATATTATGTTTTCTCCCACAATAGGGTCCTGGAACCCACACGGAGTACAGCAATGATAATACTGTGGGACTCGTGTCTCATCCTGGTGTATGTGCACACTGTAATCTTTCTCTTCATGCTTTTTTATAACCATAACTACATTTTCAAACAATACCTGCTGAAGTAGATAAGTATGCCCACTAAATAACAAGTCAAGTAAAGACCCTTTTGACACAAATGTTGCATCAGGTATATGATGCAAGAGTTATTTTTTTATCGACCAATCAGTATTCGATGGGCGGAAAGGTGTTCAGCATCACGCTAGTCCACTTTTTTCTTCGGGTATTTGCATGTATCTATTTTAGACTAGGTCTGCTTGAAGCCAAGCTTAATTATTAACAAACAAAATCCGCGTCTGGTTTGGGTTTGAACCCGAGACCATCGGGTTGGCTTGCAGTGTCCTGCCCAGCTACTGTACTACCAAGACTTCCAAATCATTCATACTAACTTAAAAATGATTCTAGCAAAAAAACAGCCTTCACTTACTTCTTGATACTATCAACAGCAGGTCCATAGAAGTTGTCCAGCATCATTGTCTGAAAGGTTCAATGTGAAAAGCAAATATTCATTAACTGGCAGCAGAGCATCAAAGCAGGCCACATTTTGTTTTTTGAACCACAGAAGCTTCAATTTTTACTCTGAACAAAGAAGACACAAACAATAGATTGCACAGTTTATTGCCTGGCATATTTCTTTGTATCTCGTCAGGTGCATACTACTGTAGCAATTACATAAATAAAGCAGATAAGTGAATCCTTTATAACTGAAGTACAAATTCAATTAACGATTAAACATGAATGCCTATTTTACCAGGGCAGCCATAAAGTCAGAACCATATCTTTCTGTATACACAATTCCAGGCAGTCATGTTTGATCGTTGTTGAATTTGAACTTGGGCCACTAAACAATAATCATAGACAGAAATATAGAAATGTAAGAGATATTTGAACAAAAATACACATTTTAATATGATACTACATATATGTAGCAATAGTTTACACTAACAGTGAAATTTTAATAACAATGAATTACCAATAAAGAATTTTTGATTCTTTTCTTTCAACTCACCCCAAACAATGGATTTCCCAGAATCCTTTAGAATCCCAAGGAAAGTCCAATATTCTAGGCATGTTATGTGTGGTTGTTTTCAGCATTTATTGCATCATCCTTCTCAGTGTTTTTTTCCCACTAAGTCTTTCGTTTGCTGTCATCACTGTGCTTGTTTGGAAGCGGTTCTTACTTTGCCATAAATTTCCTGACCTGTCAGCACTGGTGCATGACCAGCAGAGTAGTGCTGCTTTTCTGCATCTTGCATTCTGCCAGACGGAGCTCCAAGAGTCATCTCATGATGTAGTCGCATACTGTGTGTCAGGACCGACTGTCTGCAGAATATCCCATCAGGGAAGACACATGGCTGCCAGGCTTGCATCTGTCTGCCTTACAGACAGGTAATTCTTTTTGTGTACTGTTGGTCTCAAGAGTTAACAAGCATTTCATTTTGCCAGTTAGAGTTGGGAATGTCCTTGGCTAGATGCAACAGTTTGCTGGAGAAATTATCGTGAAGTTTGTGCCAACAAACTGCTTCTCTACCCTGTAGTGATAAACCCAACACCACTATCGAGAGAAATGACAGCCTGTTTTCAGGGTGAAAAAAATCAGGTGGGACAGGTTTTCCCACAGCAGCATACATGCATGGAGATGTCGGCCCTTTTCACCCCCCCCCCCCCCCCCAAACCCCCTTTCCCCAATACTGATTGCACTAGCGTTTGTTCACACATAAAGAAAGTTGCAGTCATTTACACAAAGAAAGCTGTGCAGTTTGTGAAAAATTTTTGCATGCACATTATTTTTTGCCACAGTTTGTTCAACCGGCACAAACACTTTTTCCACACATTGTATAAGCACCAGGGGATTCTGGGATTTCCTTTGCTTTGGGTGAGTTAAAAAGAGAAGAACCAAATTTTTCAATTTCTGTCAAATAGACAGTGACAAAACACAACAGTAACTGGATGCTAACAAAGCAAAAACAGTACCACAGGATTCAGTTAAAGGGAAGAGGAGAAGAGGCAGACCAAGAAAGACCTGGATATAGAACCTGACTGATTGGACAGGCCTTAGGTATGCAACTATGAAGTCCACTGCATCTGACAATCTTCTCCTCCTTCTTCTTCTTGTGTTCGCTTTTTGACTTACACTGACAGACAAGTTCTTGTGAGGAACTAGACATCTGACCATCAAAGGTGGATGGAGCTGATCAGAAGTCAACAAACAGCAATTGGTGACCTAACGACAGAGTGTTACTGGACGATGATGAAAACAAAGCAGAACGGAATATTTAGAAGCTCTTCTTTTTCTTTGTCCACTGGCTATAAGCTTCAGCAGAAAGTCCTGGTGGTTCGTCCATGTGGACTTTTGGTTTTATTTGAGGGCCTGAGTTTTGTGTGTACATTGATTTCTCTAGCTTATTTGTATGCAGCTGATTGTTCCTTGCTGCTTGGGCAGATGCACTCCGACTTCGAAGGAGTCCCCAATTAGTCGACTCCTACAACATGCTTGTCGGGGATGCAGTGTGTCTATTCTTGTTTCCCTCACCATGGGGCCCCAGAACCCACACAGGGAATTTAGTATAAAAGTACATTTTGTCAATACCAAACCCCTGTGGATGAACACAAACGATAATAAACGAGAAGTCTTCAGGACAGCAGAAAACACTACAGTTCACTTTAAAAAAAAACAATGGGAATTTAAGTAAAATCTAAGCAAAAAAAAAAAAAAAAATGAGTTTCATTAATTAATTTTCTTGAAGAATTTTAGAAAAACTATTTTTATAAATTAAAACATTTCAGAACTTAAAGGTAGTTATTAGCTGGAAAGGAGAATTATACAGAAAAGAAGGAATTGCATTTAAAGCCAGAAATAAACTACAAAACCCCAAGTAAGCAATCACTTTTAGCCAGCAAAACAACAAATGTTTATCTGATCATTCTTAACTTTTCACTGATGAGTTTCATAATTTGCTTACTTTCCTATTCTTTTCTTATGAGTATAAATAAATATCTTTATTTATAAGTACTTTGAATTTCTAGAACATTTTGAAATTTTAACTGACTTTTGTGCAACTTTTAATCAAAAAATATATATCAATAAATAACATAATGTCTGTTTCCCTGACAGAAAAAAGGGTGACATCATTATTGTCTACTTAAAAAAAAAATACTGACATTAAAGTAAATAATAAAATAAAATTGCTTTAAAAAATACTCACTTCATAAATTTCCATTGCAAGTTCTGGGTTAGGCAGTTTAGCAATGTCCCGGATGCAGTCAGTCATAAAACCAGGTGGTACTGTGGATGAATTATAATAGTAACTTCAATGTCTTAAAATCACTGTTAAATCGATACCAACTATAGATGGGGCTAAGGTAAAATCTATGTTCATACCAACTACAGATGAGGCAAAAGTAAAATCTATGTCCCTTGCTAACAAAAATAACACACACAAAAACGGATCGAAGCACAAACCTCACAGTTGGCAGGAGTATTTATTTTTGCACTCATTATAAATCACTCACATGCAGCATCAAACAAGTGAAAAAATAGCACACAGTTAGCTACCGAACCACACATACAAACTGCATATGCACATTCACGTTCCATCGCTGTTTGTTGGTAGTCAAAATAGGACTTTTTTTTTTAAACGCGCCTCATATACAAGGTCCGACAATTAAGTAATGAGACTGATTTTATCATGGCCAAGACAAAAATGCTATACATAAAGCAGAGCATGGAATCTAAAGAGACAATATTCATCTATGATCTGGCAACTTTTCCTCACCGCTTGATAAGCAGACAACAAATAAGCCACCATTTTGTTGACCTAGTCAGAGATGCACTGTTACGTAATCAGCATGGAGCAAAAAGCCAACATTAAATTCTTTTTTTAAACTAAAAAAAAAAACCCCACTAAAACAGTTCAATTGATTCAACAAGTTTATGGGGATAATTGTTTATCTTGTGCTCAGTTTTCAGGTGGTATTCACGATTCAAAAGTGCTGTAGAAATGATTACTAATGCACCTAGACCTGCACGCCAAATTTCTGTTCGCAATGACGAACTCATTGCAAAAGTCAGAGAACGGATACAAAAAGATCATTGTTTTACTTAAGGTGATGGCAGATGAATCTAGTGGTAATAGAGAGACTATTAATAAAATTTTAGTGGTTTGTACCACATTTGTTGTTTGATGACCAAAAAAATCAGCGGGTTGAGTACCTAAGAGACATCATCAAAACAAAAATTTTTGGGCCAAAAACAAGTGTGTGTTCTCAGCCTTCCAACCTATTTACCGGATTTGTATCCCTGTGATTATTTTTGATTCCAAAATTAAAGTTTTGATTGAAATGACACTTTTTTAAACAATTTTGATGACACCCAAAGGACCGTAACATCGACTTCAAGGGTCATAGCAACAGAAGAAACTACAGAGGTCGTTCCAGTGTTTGTTAGATCGTGCCACTTGCTGTATTAATGCACAAGAGGCTTACTTTGAATAAAATACAGGTTATATCTTCAACTGTTAATTATTTTAATTTTTATGGAATTAGTCTTAATACTTAATTGTCGGACCTTGTAAACAGTCCTATGAGTTACAGTCGGAATGCAGAGGTGGTGGTGCACCAGGACTCATAATGGTCACAATCTATATACATTTCTCCGTGGTGAGCCTAGAAACAGGTTCCCAACCTCTAGAACTGACTCAAACAGATAGGAGACAAGAAACCAACAGTCTGCACACAAATGAGCAGAACTAAATGTGTTTCTTGTGCCTGACTACTTCCATCAATAACAAACTGGACTTCTGGTAGTGAGTGTTGGCTTTCGTGTCTCTAGCAGCTGCCGTGTGCATATGCTGTGTGTGCATATTCCTGGGACATTAAGACTGAGCTGGCTACACGAAAAGCAGCTGCTGGGAGACTCTTCCAGGCCATAAACCAAGGGTTTCTTAGCAAAAGAGAAATTGGCAAGAGGACGAAAATGGCTGTTTACCGCTCTACCTATGTACCAGTCCTGACCTATGGGTGTGAGTCATGGGCAATGACAACAGCCCACAGAAGCCAGCTGCAGGCCTCGGAAATGAGATACCTGAGAAAGGTGGTCCAAGTGACAAGAAGGGACAAAGTCCGCAATCAGACAATACGTCAAGATCTTGATACCCAGCCCTTACTAACCCGAGTGGATCAGTCACAGTTACGATGGTTTGGACATGTGTGCAGAATGGGAGAAAATCGGCCACCATGGCAAGCATGGGAGGCTAAGAACCAGGGAACCAGACCTCCGGGACGACCCAGGGTGCGCTGGGAAGACAACATCCGACAGTCCCTGACTGACAGAGGACTGGAATGGAACAAAGCCAGAAAGAAAACTGCTGATAGAGACGTCTGGCGATCTCTCTGGCAAACCTCTACACCCCAAGGTAGAAGAGGAGCGACTAAGTAAGTAAGTAAGTAAGTAAGCATATTCCTGGATTGTGCCGGGACTAACTGTTCACCAGTTTTTTAAAGGTGACAATGAGGGACATTTCATTTGATTTTCACTGGCACAGGAAAAGAACAAGTATGGGGTGACCTGATTGCAGTGAAGTTGAAACCTCGACTAAGACTAACAGCAGATCTGAAAAAGAGTTGTGCATGTAACAATCAAAGTCATAAAACTGAATCAAAGTCAAGAAGTGGGCAGACAACCAGGACCTTCTGTCAGAGTTTATAGCCGGTGAATGCCAAGAGGAAGAGTTACATTCGGTAGTGAATGCAACAGAATCATTTTAGCTGTTATTAACAGAACTTTACTTTTGTAAAAGAAACTGTAAAGTAAGGTTCAACCATGAATTAATACCTGCATATGACACAAGATTATATGGGCAACACTTACAAGACCCTCTGCCTTCACTTCTTTCATGAGCTCTTCCATGTTCAACATCATTCCAGTAATACTCCTCCAGGATAATTCTTGCTAGCAGGCACGGTGAGATGTCATTCTGTAATTTTATCAAGACAGTTTAAAGTCTGTAAAATCCACAAGGAAAGAAAGAAAAAATAAGAAACCGTTTCACAGATCTGGTAATAATAAAACCACAAAAATCATGTTTTATATGTATTAGATCTTATTTAAAATATTATGTGTTAAATAATAATGTTTTATATTTTATTTGCATTATTATGTATTAAATAATCATTTTATAAATTGTATTATGGTAGAATTACATGCACACACACACAAAATAAATCATAATAATAAACAAAGAAGTATGAAAGTTACGAATTCATCCATTTATACTGTACACACAGTAGATGCACAGGTTTCTATGACACTCTTAACCCTTTTGTGAAAGGGTCTCTGTATGAATTTCACCATATACATTTTTTAAGCATAAAGAAATGTATTCCATTTAATTTTCCAGTCATTTTAATTATAATTACTCCTCTTTCTATATTCCCCCCCCCCCCAAAAAAAAAAAAAAAATTTTTTTAAATATTAAACAAAATATATTTAGTATTGACCTGTGAAAAATGGTTGGTTTCCGAACCGATTTTTCAGGAATTTCCAGGTTTTGGTAATTTCACCCCCCCCCCCCCCTTTTTTTTTCTTCTTCTCTAGGTCTAAAAGATTAAAGTACAAAATGATGTGTTCACCCAGTTTCCAAATTCACCTTGCATAAAAATAATATGAAATTACCACTGGTTTCATTGTAAAACTGAATGCGTAAACCTGCAGCTTTACTTGTTACTTGATATCCGTATCCACATCGAAGAACATCAGTCTGACCCATTTATGCTTTGTCCTCCAATGCAGCTGCCATCTCAGTGTCTCCATGCTCAAACGAAACCAGCAATAGTAGACTGGTGAATCTTTGCCTGCAACCAGTTTCTAAAAGGCGATTCATCATTGCTGACTCACTTGTCTCAACGTCTCAGGAATGCAGCGTATTCAGTGTGTCTACCATGTCCTTACTTCTTCATTCACCAACCACTGTAAACACAGCCTGTCTGACAGCTCTTTCCTTTCCTATCACCCCCGTGTATCCCGGTGTGTAAAGCCAAGATAGTTTCTTTAAGCAGGACTTCTGGATGCTATCAACCCATTTTAGTCAGAGTCTGCCAGATTGAATCTTCTCAACTATGCTTAATGAGTCTGTCACTATCAATCCACGAGTTGTTTTCTGTTCTACTGGCCATACAACGCCCCTGTGAACAGCTCACATCTCCATTTTCATCCTTTAAATAGTTGTGCCTGACTTGCTTCCTTGACTGTCCTTCCATTCACTAGCACTGTGTGGCGCGGTGATTTATGTCACAGGCGTGAGGGGAAGTTAAGTCCAACATGATGTGTATAAGGAGAAACTCCGTACGTCACTCGGGCGCCAGTCCTTTACTATCCTGGTTGTACGGAACCTCACGCAAGACCCCTACAGCACGTCCTCGTCGTGCGCCACGGATAATGTCTCAAATGAGCATTAACAGAGCTGTCAGGGGATCTCGGAGTTTGGCGGCCCCCAGAGGTGATGTGTCCTTGTGGCTCTCACCAGCCCGCCCCCAAACGCTTGGGTGAAAAATGTTATCAAAACTCATTAGGAACATGAGTAGGTTCGACAAAAGTACAGCTAAAATCACAACCCTTGGTTAAAAGACTGCTGAGTAAAGAGAACATTGCTCAATGCTCATCCTCGGTTAATTCTCAGTGTCGTCGTCACCGCGCTGAGATGCAACACAACAGAAACCATACATGGGCTGGCCATCCTTGTGCATCCTCGGTTGGCCCTCAGTGTCGTCGTCACCGAGCTGAAGTGCACCACAACAGCAACCATCCATAGGCTGGCCAGTCACGTACATCCTCGGTTAACCCTCAGTGTCGTCGTCACCGCGCTGGGGTACACCACAACAGCAACCATCCATCGGATGGCTAAGCCTAAATGTCCGACAAAACTAGATCATACGGATCAAAATCTGACCATCAAAATTTGCACTGAAATGCAAAAGGCCGAATGTCCATACCCAAAGACCCCACTCGCCCGAGTGTTGGGACAAAACTGATAACGATATGCCTGATTCAGGATGTGAAATTCTGCCGGGCTAATGTACCTATCTGTGTGGTCACAAAAGTCCAAAACCAACGGGCTGCTCCCCGCTGACTTCCAGAGGGCGCAGCCCCTGTCGAGCGGGAGGTCTGATACGGTTGTGAGGTTAAGCAGGCATGTGCAGGACGTGACGATTCCTTGGGTGAGCCCAGAACCAGAGCGCCATGTGCCGGCTCTGCATGCATGGAAGCCTCCTTGGATGGCGGGGAATGCCCATGATCTGCCCCTGCCTTTCCTTAAGGGCCAACTGTTCCACAGGGGGTTGCCCAAAAGGGGTACTCCGGGGGCAATACCTGCGGCGAAGGAGACAAGGCGGACACCACACAAATCAGGCAGCCTCGACCCACACAAAACAATGGCCACAGTCACCCTAGAAATAGGCCTGACGTCTTCCTTCGAAGTCGGCATACAGCTGCCCAAGAGGCAGGGAAATTAAAAACGGTTGTACACGCAAAAATCAGGTCCAGGTGAAGGCCAAAAGTCCAAGCGGACGATTAACCGGGACCTTCCACTGGAATTCACAGCCGGTGTTCGATGAAAAAAAAAAAAAACTAGCACTGTCTACCCACCCGGAAGGCACCCTACGAATCACTGAGCCATCTGTACAGATCAGTGGTTCTCAACCTTCCTAACGTAGCGGCCCTTTAAAACAGTTCCTCATGTTGTGGTGACCCCCTCCCTCCCAACCATACAATAAATTTTGTTGCTACGTTATAACTTCAGTGAATATGTGTTTTGCGATGGTCTTTTGACCCACACACAAAAATCGATGCCCATAGATTGAGAACCACTGGTATAGAAGATGATGATGGTCAAGTCTGATCATGGATGAGAGTCCTTATCAGCATCAGCGGCTGTTTGGCCCCATTCTCTGCAATACCTGCCCACTCAGTGTGCTCCTGCATTTTTGTGGTGCTTCTATCCATTCAGCGCCGATCTTGACATGTTATAATGGATAAATGTGGCGAATATTAGTCCTCTGCTTCCGCAATCTAGGAACTTACCGTTGCAGTTCAATATAGGGTGTTTTATGTAAGCAGCAACACCCATGTATGCCCTCTCATGTGTCTAGTGATCATGTCTGGCAGGCCGAGGATATATTGCATGGCATGACACAAAGTGTTTCACTGGCAACCGAGGATCAGTCTCATGGCTTTATTTTGCACTTCGTCTAGTCTTTCCAGCTAAAGTCTGCTGACTGTCAGGAGGCCAAGCCCACAGTCAATAAATGAAAGCACCAAACACCAAAAAAGCATAAGCAAGTTTTTGTTCCATCGCAGATGCTACCATCATCCTGAGCACCTCCGGGCCTTTATTAGCCATTATAATGTTTACATCATCAACATAACATCAGAAGGACGGAAATCTATCAAAGTGGATGCCAAGATTTTTAAGGTCCAGTGTTCTTTTAATCCCATCTCCACATATACTGACAATGGCTGTGAGCATCTTGACAATTACTAAATAAAATAAGACCAGTATTTTTTAGTTACCTTAGCAGCCAGTCGCATGATGACATTCTTTTCATTCTCTGCCTTTGCATCTTTATACCTTTAGATTAATAACTTTACAGATTAAAAACTTTACAGGTAAAAGAAAATCTTCAAAATGTTTAAAAAAAAATCACTAAGACATGAGAAAAAGTAATTAATTTTTTGCTTTAAACATGTTCAGATGTCAGATTAAATAAATTTAAAGAATATAGAAGCCAACTAGACTGTGTTGGTATCTCTGAAGGATGTGCCATGAAAAGGTGCAGGTCTAAATATTTGTATTCATTCTGCACATGTTAGATACACCTGCAGCAAAAACTGTTTAGGAACACTGTGACTTACAAAACTGTTTAGGAACACTGTGACTTACAAAGCTGTTTAGGAACACTGTGACTTACAAAGCTGTTTAGGAACACTGTGACTTACAAAACTGTTCAGGAACACTGTGATTTACAAAACTGTTTAGGAACTGTTTAGAAAAAAAAAAGTCTTTAAAAAATGACCTTTTTTCAAAATTTTGTTTAAAAGAAAAGCATCAATATAATTCTTTGAAACTACTAAAAGAAACTAGAAAAAGAGAAGAAGAGGCAGAAGCAATCTGGAGTCTCGGTCAGTTTTTAAAAAAAAACCCAAGGGATTGAAACCTATGACTACCTTACAGAGAGGCAAGCCTGCTAACAGGCCCCAAGTCAGGGGCCGCTAAGTCGCAACAAATTTTGATTTTTCATATTTATAGTCATTTTTAAAATATTAAGGTAAGGAATCACTAAATACAAACAAAGCAAAGAAATAACTGCTTTCATTTCCTTTGACTAAGAAAAAAAAAGGGTTTTGTTGAAACAGCCACAGAGAACAAAGTGAAATCATCATATATTTATTATAAAAAAACTTTTCTCAAAAAAAATTATGTACTTGCCACATCTACACACTATGCAGTGTCTACTCACTATGCAGTTGCAATCTGTACTAAAGCTGTTAAACAATGTTTCAATACCGGATGACTAACTGACTTAATTTTTAACCACCACGACATCACACTTAGCGATAAACACCTGGTGAAACAAAGTGCCAACATTTGGATGAGGAACCCCGTGGATATATCCCAGAAACCCTGTTCAACCGTCAGGTTATATTAGGGCCCCCCGCAACAAGGCATGCTTGACAACCAGAAATAATCTCCAACTCCGACAGTGGCAAGGAGAGCAAAGTAGTTATACATCAGGCATATCCATCACCACAAGAGAAGAACACTACTAAACCGCAAAGAACCAAGGATGCAAATAAAGCCAAGCTCCCGTGGCAAGTTGAAGCAGCCCACAATTTTTTTTCCTATTTCAAGATCAAAATCAAGGAGGGCAGGGCTTCAAAATAGCTAAAAAATTCATCCCACATGGGGATGGATGTGTGCCAATACGGGATGCAATTTTTCGTTATTTTAAAGCTCCCACTTCGACTGTTGTCGGGTTTCGGGGACTTTTACCCAGGTTATTCTCATCCGAATGGTGGCACTTTGTGTCACTAGATGTTTATTGCTAGGTGTGCCGTCCTGGTGGGGTTAAACTTCATACATACATACTAAAGCTGTTATATACAGTCGTATTGACCACTGCCCAAAAATGTCATGTCATCAAAAATCCGTGAAAGTAGAAAAACAAGTTTTCTCAGGGTGAAAGGGTTCAATGCTGATTGGTTCATAATAAAATTAAAATAGCACCATATGTCTAAAGCACTGAGTGGGTTTCAGGTCCCCACTGTAGGGGAAAACCACAATACACCCACTGCCTACCCAAAATATGTCACAAGAGTCGACTAAGTGGGAGCTTCCTTTGAAGTCGGAGTACATCCACCTGAGAGACAAGGAACCAGCACTCTGCATACAAATGAGTCAAATCTGTGAAATGGATGTGCACACAACACCCTGGTTCTGGAACAGGACCAGAGTCCAGAAGTGGGTGAGCAACCAGAACTTTCCACCTGAGGTTACAGTTGGTGAACACGAAGAAGATGGAGAAAATATGTCTAATACGCCTAACGGTGTGCACATGAGACCGTTACTTTTTTCCCTTCTAAGTGATTGTTAAATAAAACAAACTAAACCTAATCCCATATCCCTCTGGTAAATGAAAATCGCTGTTAAATCAAAACTACTCACAGACGATAATATTTCTCTCTGGTGTCTCTATTGTTAAATCAAAACTACTCACAGACGATAATATTTCTCTCTGGTGTCTCTATTGTTAAATCAAAACTACTCACAGAATGTATTTCTCTCTGGTGTCTCTATTGTTAAATCAAAACTACTCACAGACGATGATATTTCTCTCTGGTGTCTCTATTTTAAATCAAAATTACTCACAGATAGTATTTTTCTCTGGTGTCTTTATTGTTAAATCAAAATTACAGACGATAATATTTCTCTCTGGTGTCTCTATTGTTAAATCAAAACTACTCACAGACAATAGTATTTTTCTCTGGTGTCTCAAATCAAAACTACTCACAGGCGATAGTATTTTTCTCTGGTGTCTCTACTGTTAAATCAAAATTACTCACAGACGATAATATTTCTCTCTGGTGTCTCTATTGTTAAATCAAAACTACTCACAGACAATAGTATTTGTCTCTGGTGTCTCAAATCAAAACTACTCACAGGCGATAGTATTTTTCTCTGGTGTCTCTACTGTAATGATGGAAATGGTTACGCCTCATTCTTCTCTGAAACAAACATAAGAATCCTCTTTATGAAAAGGTAATCATATTAGATCAAATACTATCTAAATCATATTTAAGAACTGGTCAGCTAAACAGTTGGAACATTTGTAATCAGGTTTCATTTTACGTAACTTGCTTTTAAAGATAAAACAATTCCATTAATTTGATTTTTTTTAAATGTCAAAATTTTATTAACATAAAACTAGTATTAAATATTACACATTTACATTTATGTGCAATCTTTGTAAAATAAAAATAAAAATACCAACAAGTAACTATCCTTTTTATAGTATGACTAAACATCACCACAGGTATGATGTTTGTATGTACGCTGTTCAACACCACCAAGACTGCACAGCGAGCGACCAACACCTGGTGACCGTTAAGATAAAGATCACCTGGGCACAAGTCCCAGAAACCCTGTCCAACACGTAGGGGTTATATTAGGGCCCCCCAAAACAGCAAGAGTGAGGCTTTAAAATAATGAAAAATTGCGTCCCACAGAGGGAAGGGTATTACTTGAAATGTCATATGTATGATAAAACATTATAGTAAGTTAGTAAATTTTACTCCACCAGCATATCACAAGGAGCAATAAACACCCGGTGACACAAAGTGCCACCATGCAGATGAAGATCACCCATGGAGAGGTCCCAGAAACTGCATTTAACTGTTAGGCTATACTGCTGCCCCTGGCAACAGCCAGGATGGGGCTTCAAAATAAAAAAAAATTGCATCCCACAAAGGGATGATGAAGAACAATATAAAAGCATTATATATATGTACACATATACATATCTATACTATAAATCACAAACCCTTTCTGTATTTCATGTGTTTATTATAAATGAAGTGTTAACTACTCCCAAACCATAACCAATACATGGGTTGAATTTTCATTTGCCATTATGGCTACAATGTTTAATTTAACAATCACACTGATGGCCCCTTTATTATGTATTTCTTTATTTATTGGGACAATCAGTAAAAGAAAACATTTTGCTCAAGTTATACACCTTACAATATTTTTTTACTATTACTTCCCTTGAAAAGGCAATTTAAAATAAATTGTACTTCACTGCTATCTTACTTGAAACCATCTATCTATATATGTCTGAGACAATATATTTGTCTCCAAGCTGTTATATACTAGTGTTAGTATTACAGAGGATGCTTCGGGTGCACCTAGGGCAATAAATAAAGATACTGCAGCGGTGGGGACAAAGATGAAGTAGAAGAAGATGAGATATTAAATATATGGCTTTAGTTAAACTCATGTTTTTACTAGGCCTACATTTAGGGCAGCAGTGGAGAACAAGATGAGGTAGAGGACGGGAGAATAAGACTTTCTTTCACTATCCCGGGTGAAGCCGGGCAATTAAATAATAAAGTGTGTGTGTGTGTGTGTGTGTATATATATATATATACTACAGCTATTAAAGACATGCAAGCTGTCAAATTAGAAACATTTCCCAGATAAATTTTAAAGAACCAGTCTGATAAAACTGGTTCGAATTCTCTACAACGGTAAGGCAAAAATCTTGAACCTTCTAACAATTGCACTATGTACCAATGCACTAAGCACTGGCAGAAAATTCAAAATCTAACCAATCATGGAAAATCTACAACAGACATTGTGTGAATTGACTGGGCGTACAAGAAGAAGACTTGAAGCTGTAGTACAGTAATTGTAACAGTGCACAGGCTTTCCAGCATAAAGTCTAATTTCAAACCCCACACAATATCCAGTATATATAATAAGATGTATATGTGTTGATTGTTCAAGTAAACATCGATTGTAAACATTAATAATGAACACTAAGTAGGAAAACTTACATAACTTTAAGGGGTAAAGAAACTTTGAGTTTTTTAAATTAATACTTACCACATAGTACTGAGCCTGAATACTCTTTAATGTCTTATCACTGACATTTTCTCTGTTTAAAAAAAAAAAAGAGAAATATACATATTTGTGGATTTGTTTATACAAAATATTAGTAATAATTAAATTTTAACAGTGGGGCTAAACACAGCATACTGCACAATGTATTGTGTTGCCTATTTTGCTGTATCCTGTCACATGCATTATTAGCTAGTTCATTACTTCTGAAGAATTAATTTACATCACATAAATATACAATGAATGAAGCACAAAAATTTAAACCTTTAATTCAAAAATCAGTCAGTTTTTATTTCAGTCTACCACTAATGATGTAACACACAAGCAGTTCAGCAGTACCAACATAAGTAATATAAGTATCTAAATATTTACTGATAATATAATTAATTTTTATACACATAACATTTTCTTCATGGCTCTCCTCTAAACTTCTACCCCGGCATTATGGCGGCCAAACAAATATCCTAACAGGGTCTCAGTCCTATGAAAAATACGGACTTCTTGGACTTCCTGCCGAGCGGCAAAACTAGGATCGGCTCCGTATACTGAAACAAATGCTCTAACAGGGTCTCAGCGATATTTTAATTGCGGACCTGTTTTTGTGACTATGCCTCATCGGCAACCGTATCCCCCGCGACGCTAAACTAGATGGCTGGGACTCACGAGCAGCAGCTACCGCATTTCTTGCAACTTCCTCGATTTTAAAAGCTTTTGAGTCCCAGGGCTCTAGTTTAGCCCCCCATCTGCACCGTGCGTAGCAGCGGGGGGATACTGCCGGCAGTGAGTGAAACCACGTTTTGAGCATGCTGAAAAGTTTGAGGACAACGACGACGCTAATCTGCTTCGGAGCGCGTGGTCTCCCGGCCATGTTGTTTTTATTGTCTGTAATGTTGCGTGTCTTGAATTTGTCAATGGTAGCTAGTATCGTCTGCTAGTAACATATGCAGAAAGTTTCTGAGAAACGCTCGAAAGTGTCAACGGTCACTATTATCATCTGCAGTGTTGCGTGTCTTGAAATTGTCAGGTAATCCTAGTTTTGCCACGATTTGTTCGTTGCTGGAAGTTTGCATATTTTTAATAGGACTGAGGCCCTGTTTGGCTGCCATAATGCCAGGGTAGAAGTTCGAAGGAGAGCCTTCTTCACTGTTCTTTATTTAAATCTTCACACGTAAGGCCCTTTTTTTGTTTCTAGAAAAATAGGTGGGTGTATAGTAGTTATTATTTAAGTTATGCTTTAAAGCTTTTTTCCCTAGTAATTACACAAAGAAAACCGCCACTGATTTTACTTCACTGCACACAATCATAAATATTATTACTAATTACTATTAATTATTAATAATATATTATATATATAATCTAATAATGCAACTGACGCAGAGACATGAATGAGGCACTAACGATTTATAGTTTTAAGGATTTGTCTGATTATTCATTATACAAGAATCTGAAAAATATAGACAATTAATTATTTTCCTAATATAATAAAAAATAATTTCCCAAGTCTACATACTACATTCACACTTCGATTACACTCACATAACAGTTAGTAGTTAGTTTAGTTACGTACAGAACGTCTGGCCATCGCTTTTGAAGTTGACGTATGCCTTCATTAAATGAAGGCTCTCGGCTCAATATTTCTAGCACATAGTCGTATGTTTCCTGATTCATCATTTTAGAAGCAGAAAGTATAATTCACAGCCCTCTATCAGTATCTAATCCTGTGTTTATAGGTTATATAATCCTTTTCCTTGGCAACTCAATGATCCTCCGAACTCCAGCGTCAGTTGCTGCTTGTTAAAGTAATCTCCCTTATAGGAAATTAAGAAGTGTTTCTCACAAGTTCAAATGAGGTGCCACCTTCTTCTTCTTCTTTTGTCAAAATCTGCTTGTGCCGCTAGGCGTCGCAGTCTATCAGATGATCGGCAACCGAGCCAGGGCGCGCTCAGTCGCTTCATATGCCGTGATGTTATGAAGTCGCAAGTTGTCCGTGACTCCTTCAATCCATCTTCTTCTTGGTCTTCCCCTGCCTCTTGGTGTTTCGATTTTCATGTTGTATGCTCTTGATGCTGGCATCGTTGGTTCCATTCTCATTAGGTGACCAAACCATTTCATTCTTTGGTTCTCAATAAATTTAACGATGGGTATGGTTCCAATAGTTCTTGTAATCACATCGTTTCTCACTCGATCTCTTCTGGTTTTATTTGCAGCCATTCTCAAACATCTCATTTCACAGGTGGTTAGTCTTCTCTAGTGTTCTTTTGTTAATGTCCAAGTCTGACATTGACAACCTAATATAGATTGTATTTATAATTTGTCTTTTTTATCTCAGCTGGGACAGCAGGGTGGTTTAAAATTGGGGCAAGCTGGTATGCGACATTGTTGGCTTGTTGGATTCTTGCTTCGATCTCTCTGTCTATTTTACCTTTGAATGTAAAGATACTTCCCAAGTATTTAAATTCTTGCACTTGTTTTGGGCTGTGATCTAGAATCTTTATGTCGATGGTCTGTTGCTCTCTACTTATGCTCATGACTTCTGTGCCACCATCATTATCAATCATGGGATCCTTGATAAAATGTCGCTCTTGACACGCCTGAAAGTCACTCTTTCTACAATAAATTCTCCAGCCCTGTGTGCTTTCATGGCCAATTCATCATCAATGTCTTGTGTCCACTTTCGTTGAGGTCTGCATCTACATCGTTTTCCGGTAAATTTAGCCTCCATCATATTAAATTACTTTATTCCGTCCTTTTTAGGATAAAATTTTTCGTTAATTAAAACCCTACTCTGGCTTTGACAGGGGCCGCAATATAGCCTGGCAATAAATATGACCTAAAGGCTTAACGCGGTTTCTGGACCTCCCCACGGTGATCCTTACCCACATGGTGGCACATTGTATCATCGGGTGTTTATCGCTTGTGTGATGTCCTGGTGGGGTAGAAAGACAGCCAGTCAAGAGGCTCCTCTTGGATGGCCGAGGCAGAACATCAAATCAAGCAAGTATTCTACCTAGACGAGATCAGTCACGGAAAAGAATGGACGGATACACCAGTAGACATGAATGACTTGTCTAAGGTTGCCATAACACTGGGGAGGTACTGCAAGAGTCAGATACTGCCACCGCAGACGCTGAGATTATGGCACCGATTGATCAGCATTCACGCCCAGAAGACGTCATTTACACATATGGGTCCGTGAAGCACGGCATAAAAGATGGGGGAAACAATAAAAGAGGATTCGGTGTTTACCAGACAACTACGAAAAAACCTGCCCATTGAGATTACTGCTGCTTCCAGAGCACTTTCATTAGTAACAGAGCAAGCGACCACATATGAGGTAATCTTTTCAGACTTTATAAACATGCTTTAGAAAATCGCTACAGGGAATCTACGCTCCGAATGAGTAGAAAGTATTTAAAAGTCGCAGTTAACCTCTATCATCTTGATCTATACACCAGGGCATGCAGGAGTAAATGATAATAAAAGAGCTGATCAGCTGGCAAGTAATGGACCAATGCAAACGGAAAGAAGCATAGACAGAGCTGATATTATCAACGCTGTACGGACTAGGGTCAGGGATAACGGCGAATCTCTGACGCTAACACGACTGCGTGACCGAGGAGTTAAACTTGGTAAAGCACGTTTATATCGTCTTCGAGGTAAAGACTGGAAATATCATCTTCTGCCTTTCTAACCGCTAATGGATCATATGCCCTCCCCCAACTCACGCCAGGTCATTCTATCCTTCGCTATCGCACTTTGGTGCTGAACTATTTTAGGTTTAGTGAACGGCATGTGTATTGACTGAAAAATTCCGATTTGCCCAAAGGAAACTATATAGAAATTGGAGGACACAACAGAAATAGTAAACTGGGAAACTGCAGTATTTGTTTATGTTGATTATATGATCAATAACATACTTGCTATTGCACAACCGATTTGGCAAGGATGTACACTGAGTGCTCCAAATATACATAGTGTGATTTGTTAGGGAACTTGTGTGGAGTAAGAAACTTATAGATTATGTTTACATACATCACACCAAACTCATCACCGATAATCCTCTTGGTCTCTTTCAGGGGACTGGGTCAACTTAGTTACTCCCCTTTCACGAGGCAAGTGCAAACTGCTTCGAGTGTGGCTGCACTGAAGAATGAATGAAGTTCGACCTCACCAGGACCTTGCAACCAGTGGTAAACACTCGGTGACACAAAGTACCACTATTCGTTTGAGAATCACCCGGGCGCAAGTCCCAGAAACCCCGTTGAACCTTTAGGTTATATTTAGGCTCCAGGCAACAGCCAGGGTAGGGATTTAACATTTAAAAACAAAAACGTTGCGTCCCATATTAGGAAAAATATGTACTAACTAGGGACTAATAACAATAATATAAACACCGCTGGAACCAGCATATTGTTGATGCTAATGTAGTGATTAATATAGAACATCTTTATGCTAAGGTCAGTAGTGCTGTCACCCTGAACGGTCAAATATGGAGCTGGTTCCGAACAACAGTATGAGTCCGTCAGGGCTGCCTCCTTTCGCCAACTATGTTTAATATCTTCTTAGAAAGAATTATGACTGACGCTCTAGAACAACATCACGGAACTGTTAGTATAGGAGGTCGAACTATAACAAACTTAAGGTTTGCAGATAACATCCATGGGTTGGCCGGAGAAGAACAAGAACTAGTCAAGCTTGTGAATCTACTCAATAGAACATCGATCAAGTCTGGCATGGAAATAAACACACACACACACACACACACAAAACACACACAAAAACAAAAGTAATGACTAATAATCAAGCTAGAATAACTGCTCCTATCTACGTTGAAGGTCACAAATTAGAAAAGTCTATCATTTCAAATATTTAGGATCCATTTTAAGTGATTGGGGGTCAAGACCAGAAATCATTTCAAGGATTGCCCAGGCAACATCAGTCCTTGCCAAACAATAAACATTATGGAGATCTAAAACATTTCATGCAAAACTAGGAATCGATTGCTGACTGACGACTAACTGACTTTCTCTCCCACCAGGACATCAACAAACGATAAACATCCGATGACACAATGTACTACCATGTGGGTGAGGATCACTGTGGAGAGGTCCCAGAAACCGCGTTCAGCCCCTAGGCCATATTTATGGCCAGACTGTATTGCGGCCCCTTGCAAGAGCCAGAGAAGGGCTTCAAATAACGAAAAATTTCATCCTGAAAAGGACGGAAAGTGATTGAATTAGCGATTGCTTAGAGCACTAGCTATTAGTGCATTTACATAGGGTTGTGAAACAAGGACCTTAAAAGCTGAATTCAAAAGGAAGACACAAGTATTAGAAATGCGAGGTTTCAGAAAAATTCTTGGTATATCATACAGAGACCACACTACAAACGAAGAGGTTCGCCATAAAATTAAACAGCACACTGGCAACTATAAACCTCTTTTAACTGCAGTGGAAATGCGAAAAAAAAATGCAATGATATGGACATGTAATACGATCTAACGACCTCACAAAAACAATACTGCAAAACTCAGTAGGGGGAAAGAGAAGAGGCAACCCAAGAAAGACATGTTTACAAAACCTGATCGACTGGACAGGCCCCAGGCATGAAGTCCAACTGACTACCAAGGGTTGAGAGAGCTGACCAGACAGTTAAGAGAAACTAGTGACCCAACAATACGCAGTGTT